CGCCCGGCCTTTTTTTTTTTTTTGAGACAGGTCTATGTTCTTCAGGCTGTGTTCTCAGGCTGGCCTTGAACTCCTGGGTTCAAGCAACCCTCCCACCTTGGCCTCCCAAGTAGCTGGAACTATAGGTGTACACCACCAGGTCTGGCCAGTGGTTACATTTTGTGCATCCAGCCTGGAGTTCCCTCCTGCACTTCAGGACATCCCTATGCCCATTTAGCTCTGCGTGAAGTGCTTCCTCTGGTGTAGTTTCCCTTTCCCTAGATGGAGCTGTCAAAGTCCAAAGCAGTGTCTAGGCATGACAAATAGCCCAAGGATACCCAAGTATTTTATTGTTGATTTTGGAATTGGGACTAAAGGCAGATTATTTTATAAGTAATCTCTTTAAGAGTCATTTACTTCCATCTAATGAAAACAAATAGACAACTTTATACCACATGGCTTATTATACTTAGAGGATAGAATCTGTAATTTAAAATATAATTTAGATTGAACCAGCATGTATTACTTTTGGATGAACCAATATGACAACCGAAATGGACGGAGGCAGATCAGAAATAGTATACAAAACATACACAGCAGTAGTAATTAAAGACGCTAAATTCAAAAAGTAAACCATGACTTAACAACATGCAAATTGAGCAATATTTTGAGATAACACCTGCTATTCTTACTCCATTACTTTCCTTGTTGCGTTCTTTCCTGTTAGCTGAGTTTGTCTTAGCCTTTGCCTAGCCACTTGAATATGTGTCATCTATCCCTTTGGCAGGTGTTTGAGGCTCATTTGCTCAGCTAAAACCAGATATACTTCAGAGTACTAAAACCCCAACATCAAACCAATTGCCCTTACAACTCAAGAGTAAATTGTGTTAATATCAAATCCTAGAATCATATCTACAATAAAATGTGGAAAAACATCAGGTAAACTCTGAATCCCCCTTCCATATTTTTAGTTGCTCACACCAAAAGAAAGAGGCTAATTACAAGATATGAACCACACCATTGCAGCCAGCACCCAATTACCAAGACACAAAGGTAACAAGAAAGGAAAATAGGATAGTCTACCGTCTTTCAGTTTGGTCTTCATTTGAAAGTATTTGTATGTAATAATTCTTTGTATAAAAATAATTCTAAAGCAGTTTACAGGGACATTCTCCTGCAACTGGTATGGTGTGGTCAGATACAAAGAAGTCAGTCTACCTATCTGAGGTGCCTCCTTTCAAGGGTAGAAGGTCGGTCCTGGCACTAAGGAATAATGGCACCTCTGTCTGAGGATGTTGACATCTCTAGCACTATTGGTCAGATAAGGAATGCTAAAAGTCAGTTGCTTTCTTTCGGTGTAAGGCATAATGATTCAAACAGCTATTGCTATTTGCATCTTAGCTAACTGGTAAGTTCCCAAGCAAGCAGGGAACAGGAAAAAAAAGAGGGAAAACTCAATTTGGTAAATTTGCTGGAACTTAGCAACTAGAATAAGTCCATGTTTATGATTTTATTATTCATATCTACCCTGCCTCCCCATTAGTTTGTATCAAGAGATAGTGATATTAACACATACGCTATGGGTGAGAACTACCCTCTCAAAATTGTTAGGACAAAGACCAGATTATTATAAACACTTGCATTTACAAGGTGATATGCAGTTGTGTCACCCTGTAACCTAACTTCATGCCTACAAGTTTTGTTTTTAATTTGGAGCCACAGCTTTTTCCCTTAGTAAATTAACAGAATGTAATTATCTTGACAAACCCATCTTACTTTTTTTTGAGACAGTCTCACTCTGTTGCCCAGCCTGAAGTGCAGTGGGGCAACCCCGGCTCACTGCAACTTCCATTGTCCGGGTTCAAGCAATTCTCCTGCCTTGGCCTCCCAAGTAGCTGGGATTACAGGTGCCCGCCCCGATGCCTGGCTAATTTTTGTTATTTTCAGTAGAGATGGGGTTTCACCATGTTGGCCAGCTCAAACTCCTGACCTCAGGTGATCTGCCTGCCTCAGCCTCCCAAAGTGCTAGGATTACAGGCATGAGCCACTGTGCCCAGCCCCATCTTAGATACTTTACAAATGATTTCTATGGCTGTAAGAAAGCAGGTAATCCCTGGTATCTGGCAATAATTAGAAGATGTGAATAAAGATTTTACTATACAAATATGGTAAAGTATATGAACTTAAGTAGCTGAATAACAAAATTTTCTCTGGAGGTCATCCAAAAAGATGGTTTTTTACCTCATTTTAGCAGTGACTTACAGTTATACAGGCATTACATAAGACTGAATCTTTTAATCTTTATACTGTTACCCACAATACATATAAATTAACCACAAGCCTGCTTTCTCCAGTAACGAATAGTGTATTAATAATTAAGGAACACACAAAAGCATCAAGGACCAAATGACTACTAAAGAATTTCCAACTTACTCAGAATACCTTTTTAAAAATCCATTTATTGTGGTGGGAAAAAGGAGAAAAAGAAAAAAAAAAAAAAAAAAAAAAAAGAAAAGGGTGGGTTTGTGCCAGATACTTACGCTGACTTTGGGCTGAGAAGGCAAAGTCCCACTTGCCTTCATGGTGCTCACTAGCTTGTTGAACGCAGTCATGTCTCCGTCTTTCTTGAGTTGTCGATTGTTGGTTACAGCACTCAAGGTCTCTTCTAGGTGTTCTGCCATGAAGGGAGTTGAATTCTTCACTTGCTGGTCCACCTTCAAGCCCTTCAGACCTGCTTCTACCTCCTCCACGGAAAGCACAACCCCTGAATGTGCTGAGAAGTTGAGAATGTCCAGGTTAAATCAAGCAAAGAGATATCTGGTAGGAATTCTCTTTGGCTAGTATGATAGATAAGATGAAAATAATTTATTTCAAAATTGAGATAAGACTGTCAGAAAAGACTGACACCAAAAATAGACAAACTAGTAACACTTAAAATCAAATTGTGTACTAAGAGATGGCATAAACTAAACCTAAAATGTTTAGATGCTAGATACTGGGGGATCACAAATATGAGGTGCTATGCTTTAAAACTTGACAAGATCCTGCTGTGCATCCTGCAGAAGGATATGAGTCTTCTAGGAGACTTGTTACCTGGGACAAGAATCCCAGATAGCCCAACATTGCCAAGATTCCTACCTGCACTGTGGTCAGTATATCACTAAGTTTTTATGTTGAGGATTTATAGCCTAAGCAAGAATATGGAAGACTAGGGCAGATTTGTGAGGAAATGGTAAGTTATGCTCTGGAGGAATAAAACATTCACTGGAGTCTGTTTTCAACATTCACTGGATTATTATAACCAGACCCTAGGTAAGAACTTATAGGAAAAGTTCTCATAGGGCTCATGACCTACTGTGAGATTCTCAAAGAGGTGGTATTCTTTGATGAAATGAGTTTTTAAAAAAGAACATTAAACAAAAACCCAATATATATTTGACTTTTTAGGAAACAGAGGTATGTTAGACCCAACTGCCTGAAGACTGAACATCTAGACTTTTTCAGATATCTAAAAAATTATAAACACTTACAGCTTTCTTTAAGTTTTTCTTTATTTGCAGAAAGGCTAGAAAGAAGAGGTTTCAAATCCACTTTGGCTTTCTGTAGCATTTCTAAAATATCCACTTTATTTTCAGTATGGTCTTCCAATGGTATAGGAGCAAAGTAATTCCCCGAGTTCTGTCCAGGAGAGAGGATGGCTTGCTCCAGACCTGATATTGCAAATAAACATACTCAAAATTAATCTGTTCCAGTAAAGAAACATGCCTTCAACTGTATTTTTCTTTCTTTCTTTTTTTTTTTTGAGATGGAGTTTCACTTTAATTCAGGCTGGAGTGCAGTGGTGCAATCTCGACTCACTGCAACCTCCATCTACCGGTTTCAAGAGATTCTCCTGCCTCAGCCTCCCGAGTAGCTGGGATTACAGATGCCTGCCACCACGCCCGGCTAAGTTTTGTATTTTTAGTAGAGACGGGGTTTCACTGTGTTGGCCAGGCTGGTCTCGAACTCCTAACCTGGTGATCCGCCCGCCTTGGTCTCCCAAAGTGCGGGGATTACAGGCATGAGCCACTGCACCCGGCCCCTTCAACAATATTAAAAGGACACAAATTGAAGGCTTTTCAGTTGTCCAGAGACCCTTTGACCCTAATCGACTCCTGACTAATGAAGACGAATGAACCGTATCAGGGAAAAACCCAGGTTTACCTTCAAGAGCAGAATCTGAAGCCATTTTACCTGCAAGTCTCTCTAGCTCTTCATGTGGTGTTGACCCAAGACTGCTGGATCGGCTTCCTGATCTGCTCGGGTTAGAGAACCACCTACTGAACCGACTGGCAGAGACTGACCCTTCTCCCAAAACATCTTCTATCATCTGAAGAAAAAGACAATAAAAACTAATAGTTTCTAGATGAAAAAGGACAAGAAGGTTTAAATCTTATGAAAGGGTCACTTACTTTGAAATTTCCTTTGATGCTGGTGACCTGAAGATAAACATTCTCAGAACCTAGGAATTTGAACACCTTTTTCTTCCTCCTTCCTGGGTAATTTCTGAGTATAACCAACTATCTACTTTCCTTTTTTATTACTATTTTTTTTAAGACAGAGTCTTGCTCTGTTGCCCAGGCTGAAGTGCAGGGGTGCAATCTTGGCTCACTACAACCTCTGCCTCCCGGGTTCAAGTGATTCTCATGCCTCAGGCTCTCGAGTAGCTGAGACTACAGGCATATGCCACCAGACACCTGGCTATTTTTAATTTTATTTTTAGTAGAGACGGGGTTTCACCATGTTGGCCAGGCTTGTCTCGAACTCCTGACCTCAAATGATCCACCGACCTTTGCCTCCCAAAGTGCTGGGATTACAGGCATGAGCCACCGTGCCCAGCCTACTTTCTAAGAATATAAAGCAAAGCCTCTATGCTACAAAAAGTTCTTCAGTTTTCTATTCTTTGCCTCAGGAGTAAATCCATATACTACCAAATGTTCTCAGAGAACAGTGTCAATGCCACAGCATTCCACTGACAAGCTGATGAGTGACCTTCAACTAAACATCAAGAATAGGGAACTGATGAAAGAAAACCATTGCTTCAAACTTAGTGGTTTCAAGGTTGTAATGAACATTATGAAATTCAATCCTGTGAGTTACAGAAGCCAAAGGCTAAAAAAAATAGAGCTCATAAAGACCATAATTCCAAGTCAAAGTTTAGAAAAAGTATGACTGTGGAAGATGAAATTACAACTGATCTCTGTTTGAGATCAATTGAGAGTTTTCAGGTGTTTTCTGTTTCCAAATCCAACCTCCATAGTTTTCATTTAATAAGGACAATTAAATAACACACTATGAACAGTAAATTGCTTTGGTAAAAATTACGAAATAGTGCCAATCTTTCTTAAAAACTAAATTTAAGCATTTAAAAAGTTTTTCAATTCACATCATACCATAAATTCAGTCAAATATCCAAAACTGATTTTTTGCAGTATTCATATCAATATTTAGAAAAGACAAGATAGAGCAAACATCTATCCAAAAATCAGACATATCCTTGAAAATAAATCATATACTTTCACTTCAATCCCACTGATAAACAGAAAACATGCTTTTTCAAAAACTGGTACATGGATGACAGAATTAGTGACTGTTTTACTTGAAATCTGGAACCCACAGTTTCCAAAGTTAAGCAGGGGAAGCTTAGATTTATGCTTTGTTCTTCTCTGGAAGAATGTTTTCATAATCCATACCCAAACTAAGCCACAAAATACTTCTTTTGAAGGGATTTTAATTCAAGACCCTAATTATTGTTTCCATAATTTCTATTTTCAGAGGAATTATCTAGACAATTTCAATCACATTCCACCTGTAGATGCTCATACCTTAAATAATGCTGACTTTTAAGTGCACTAATTTTGGCCGGGCACGGTGGCTCAAGCCTGTAATCCCAGCACTTTGGGAGGCCGAGACGGGCGGATCACGAGGTCAGGAGATCGAGACCATCCTGGCTAACACAATGAAACCCCGTCTCTACTAAAAAATACAAAAAACTAGCCGGGCGAGGTGGCGAGCGTCTGTAGTCCCAGCTACTCGGGAGGCTGAGGCAGGAGAATGGCGGGAACGCGGGAGGCAGAGCTTGCAGTGAGCCGAGATCCGGCCACTGCACTCCAGGCTGGGCGACAGAGCGAGACTCCGTCTCAAAAAAAAAAAAAAAAATTTTTTTTAATTACTTATTTAAATTTGCAGGCATTCCAAATGTTCAGTTTGTATACATTTTTCTGGCTTTTAATTTGTCAATTTCTAAGTGAATATAGTCCACAAATACATGTGTATGTGCGTGTATATTTCTGATCCTTGTGTTTCTTCGGCTTGTAAGTAAGCTCTATGAGGATGAGAACTTTATTTTGTTTACTACCATAGCCTTAGTTCCTAGAACAGTGTCCAGAGGTTAGAACTACTCAATAATTTGTTTTGAGACAGGGTCTTTTTCTGTCGCCTAGGCTGGAGTACTGTGGTGTGATCATTGCTTGCTGTAGCGTCAAACTCCTGGGCTCAGCCTCCTGAATAGCTAGGACTGCAGGAGCACACCGCCACTCCCAGCTTATTTTTATTTATTTATTTATTTATTTATTTATTTATTT